AACATATCTACACTTAGTATCTATATATATATATATATATATACAACATGCTAGTATAAACACGTTCATTATTGGCCAGAGCTGTCTGTGGATCATGCCAGGCAGCTAGTACTTATTACATACACGGCTGCTTCGAGTTCCATGGCAAATGAAAGTTCAACGCAAGAGCTACTTGTCGTTCAATGACTATTAGTATTAACATTACACGACTGAACACCGAGCCCACACCGAACTTGGTGACTAGGGACTATAGCACAGCAAATATCTTGCCCTATATATGTCACCTGATGTCATGTTAACATGTTGATTTTTAAGTAAAATATTTTATTCGGAGAGTACTAACTTGCATACCACACCACAAAGAGTCAATAACCAGTAAGAAGGAAAACACAGTCTTGCTGCACCTTTATATATATTACAATCCATAACCAAATGAATGGTCCGACAGGACCTCCTCCCATCAGTCAATCATGCCTTCTCTACTCTCGAACAAACACACCCATTTCCTGTTGGTACTGCTCACCGCGTCCGAAAACGTCCGCTCACCATGCAAACCTTATTGTACGACACTACCAGCTCCGAAGGTGGCTACGCCACACAAGCCTCATCGTACAATACGCCCCCCTCCCCTGCGGTAACCCTCCCCACAATCAACGATGCCTACGCCACACAAGCTTCGTCGTACGACATGCCACCAAAGTCTTCCAGCATTTCGACCGTGACAAATCGCAGGAAGTGTTTCAGCTCGCACACCCCGTCCGCGTTCACGCGTCCGCGGCAGAACCGCACGCGCCTCGTCACGTCGCCGCCGTTGTACAGCAGCCGCACGTAGTGGCGCCCCCCGGCGGCGGCGTACAGCTCGACGACAAGGCGCGAGGCGTAGGGTGGAATGGCGCCGTCGTAGGCGTCGAGCGCAGTCAGCAGCGGACCCAGCGTGACGTCGTGCCCCGAGTAGAGCGTGAGCGCATTGCGGGAGCGTCCGGCGGCGACGTCGCTGAGGCGATGAGTCATCTCGAGCAGAAGCGGATAGACTTTGAACGCGGAGTAGCGCTGGTAGGAGTCGCTGCGCGCGAGTCGCCGCCCGTTCCAACGGTGGTGATGCAGCAGCGCGTCCACGTGCGCGGACTCGATGCAGCGCCCCCTGGCGTTGCACGGCATCGCCGCTCCGTGGCAGAGGTAGCGCATGGACTGGTCGAGGAGGGCGTGCGGGCGCGCGCGGTCCAAGCTGACGTTCATCGCCCGCGCCATCGTGCGCAGCGCCCCCTGCATCGTGCCGTTGCGCGCAAGTCGCTGCGAGTTCTCGTCGATGTAGCGCTGCCTCATCGTTAACATCGCGCGGCAGTCGCAGCGACGCACGGCGCCCTCTGCGCAAAACGCGTTGTTCTTCACCGGGACGATGCTCAAGCGCGACGCGTCGAACCCGGGTAGCAGCGGGTATAGGAAGGCGACGAGACTCTGGTAGGTGCGAGCGATGACCGTGCTCTTCAGCGTGACGCGCTCCGCGTCGTCCCAGTCGTGCAGCGCGAGGGCGCCGCCGTAGCGCTCGCGCAGGAACGCGCCGTTCTTGAGGTGCTGCAGGACGCCGATCGTCGTCAGCTTTCCCGGCTGGCAGTAGCGACCGACGGGAATGTACGGGAACTGGGAGAAACTGTCCGCAGGGTGGCGCCGCTTGGCCAGCGAGCGGACGTGCGCGCGGAACTCCTCCAGCAGGGGGCTCTTCACGTGCACGTCACAGACAATGCGTGGTTCGGGGTCGGCCAGGGGCAGGGCGCCTCGATCGCCGTGCCGGATCACAATGTGGACGTTGACGAGGCGGTAAACATCGGACGTGAGCCTCTCGTCGCCCGTCACGGACACCTCCACCGGATTACAGTACTCTGCGATGGACGCCACGGTGCGGTTCCTCAGCGGCCGCGCGTGACTCGCCGCAGTGGCAACGCTCCTCAAGACGACCCTACTGGTGGCGCCCTCTCCTGTGCCTCCCGACCTCATGAGCAGGAGAAAGATGAGTACGCCGGTCAACCAGAGGCAGGTTGCGCAGAATAGGAAGGTTCGGTGGCGTGAGACGAGCTTCCACATTGTGCGAGGGCTGTGGCAATACGTCTCATCCATCTGCACGTGACGTCATCACTTTAAAGGGAAAAGCGTAAATATTTATGATATTACATATATAATTATTACACATATATATGATCTACACATTTATTGGGTGCAGTTCAAGGCGTTGATCTAATTATTCCTATAGTATGCAATAGGCTTAGGTAGTCCTACTAGTACTAGTACTACATGTCATCTAGCTCTAGTAGTACTAGGTACAAGTAGCGTTTACACACCCATGTCGTGAGTTTGGTTAGGGTTAGGGTTAGGGTTAGGGTTTTTAAACCTGGGGTTGTCAAATAGGACTTAGTACTATAGCTAGCTCTAGTACTATAGCCCGCTTACAGTTGCCACTGGTGCCACAGTTGCCTACACCAGTGGCAACTGTACGCGGGCTATAGTAGTATTAATATTAGAACTACTACAAGAGCTATACATTAACTGCCGCGTACATTAATTACATTACATTAAGTGATTAGGAATATGAACATATTTTATTAGCTTTTCTATCGCATAATTTCCAGCGAATCACACAACAAGTACAAAGCTAGTATAATATTTGTTTAGAGTTGTTGCCACTTGCCTAGATACAATAATGTAACCCAAACCCAAGAGGATAGGGGTATGAAACCCAAGAGGATAGGGGTATGAAACCCAAGAGTATAGGGGTATGAAACCCAAGAGGATAGGGGTATGAAACCCAAGAG